TGTGGAGGATATTTGTCCTCATCCTGAGACAGTTACGTTAGTGTACAGCTTGGAGCCTCTTTGGATCCCTCGATGCTATTGAATGTCAAACCATGTATACTTCCTAATGAAATCAGCCAGAAGATCATGCCCCTTTTGATCAGACACAGACCTGGCGACAGAATGATCCACACTCACAACCTCCAAGCTTGATTACTGCAATTCATATCTAGGAATGAAGCAGGCCAAAGCTCCAAATAGTACAGAACACAGTAGAGTAGCCATGCTAAGCTCATCTGGTTAGCAACACAGGTCACAGTCCACAACATCCCTGTACTGATAGGCGGCAGTAGGAAACCACAAATCGTCATGAGGCCTCGCTCCCTCTTACATCCAACAACTACACAACTAAACAAATGGAACAAATACAACTATTTACAGTAGAAGCAGGTGCCAAGCAGACTAAAACCTCAGGTCTTGATCCCAACTCACAAGAACACAGATTTAGTCCAGAATTGGAGGCGTTCCTGACAGGTGTAACACAAGATAGATTTTTTGTTGTGGTGGTAGAGGGGGAGATTAAATCCCACTATAGCAGTCTCAGATTTTACCATTTCAGAACAGTTTTTTGTTTTTTTAAAAAATAGCTCCTCCTGGCAAAAGTAATGAGGAAAATAAAGGAATCCACCCTAAGGAGTCTGAGCATTAGAACTGCCTGGGTGTTTGGTGACAATGTTATCTAGCCTAGAGCTATTGGAAAAGGCAACCAGATCACCACTTTGCAAACCACTTCTGCTAAAGTCTTCCTCCTTCAAGTGCATGAGTGTAACGATACCCACCGTCAAGTAATTTGTAAGAACTGAACCAGGATGTCTGTATCTAAAAGCATGAGTCTCTAATGCTTGAGCTAAAGGGGCAGGCCCCACTATCTCTGAGACAGCAGCAGACTCAAACATTCATACAAGCCATTAACATGAGGATTACTAAAGTGTTAGTAGGTTACAAGAGAATGCTAGTGGTTCCTAGTGGAATGAGCTATCAATTATCATCCATCCCAAACTAAAACTACCTTCCATTTTACAAGCCACTACAATACAGTGTCAAAACTCCTATAACTAATGAAGCATAGGAGAGGTTGAGATCCTATTTAAGGATGAAGACAGGATCATAACTCTGGAAAGATTATTCTGTATAAATAAACCAAACAAATTCATTTGTGCTCTGCCCCAGAGGGCACACTAGAGCAAAAACCAACTACCGTACTTCTGATTTAAAGGGACTCCCCATCAATATTATCACCCTGAAAAATGTTTGCCTATTATTGTTACAAGTAATAGGAGAGATTATGCCATGAGAGATTAGAAGTAAAATTTTTCTTTTTTCATTGTCTTTTCTTTGTGCATTTGACAGTGCTTGTCTACGGACAGTCTGTGTTGCTGTTTCCCCTGTCGCCCCCTTATTTGCATGGGTTTTTTACAAACAACGACAGTGAAGGAAAAAATATTGCGACAATATAGAAGATGCAACTGTGAAACCATAAAAACCCAAAGTGGGACTCAGGGCCAGGTGCAATACCTGCAACTATTTAACTTTTTTTCCCTTTTCTATTTAAATCTGATTAGATTTCAAGTTGATGGTATCCCTTCACATAAAACTAGGTGAGAAGGAAAGAATCATCCTCAGGACCACTTTCTCCCGTCACAGTAGGGAGGCAGTACAGAACAAAGTTGCTAGTTCCTCTACGATAAAACTCTAGTATAGCATATTCCCAGGCAAATAGAGTTCACATTATATTGCCCTTTAAAACAACAACAGACATGATTTACAAAATACTGCAGGCTCAAAATTCTGATAAATTACAATTCAGGTCCCAATGCCAACCTTAGCTGTACTCCTTATCTTCACTCACCTCTACCAAGCCCTGGTAACCACTAACTACCACAAGTCTATCCTCAATTTCAACAGCAGGCTCTTTAGTTATGAGGATATAACCCATGCCAACCTTTCCAGCCCAAACTGGGAACACACCACACATCAAGGAGCGGCCAATGTGGACTAAAGGAAGATCTTTGTGTCATTGGGGTGTAATTCTCACACTGGAAAGGGATCCAAGCTTTGTCAGCATGAAAAACAAATTTCAGAGATAGCAGGTAGTTGGCCACCAGCAACATAGCAGAACAGGTGATATTGGTTCAACTAAATTCCCTGAGGATACATGAAACTGAACTCAGGGAATTAAGGGTAGCTGGAAGCCATTTAGATTGTAAACTCTTCAGGGAAGGAACTGTCTCTTATTCTATGTTTGCACAGTGGCTTATACAGGGCCACTGATCTTGGTTGGGGTTTTTAGACACTATTATAATACAGATGGTAATATAAATAAGATGGCACATGCATATTCTATGGTACAAACAGAGAGTCCAGCAGGGGCCAAACACCACTCTCTTGGTCATAGGTAGAGAAGCAGAAGTAAAGCTTGCAGAAAGATGGTTACTCTGGTGCCTGCTGCCTACAGGGTAATCAAGGGTGCACAGAGAGAAAGGGGTCTCTAGACTATAGGTGGAAGATGGACAAGAAAGTAAGCAGAGGAATTGATACGGATACTGGAACCTTAATTGCTTTTTACATTAAAGGGAAAAAAACAAAAGACAAACACTCCAGGTATTGTTTTAAAGGGCAATACATTTGCCATCTTATCTTTGTTTTAGTGTCTCATTGCTCTGAAGAAGAAACCCTTCTCTTGCTTACCTGCTCAGGGTCTAACTGATCATATGTGATGTCAGGAACTTGGCAGTGATCTTGGAGGTTTGCCTTCCCCTGCAGCAGGGAGTGTGGGTCACGTGACAAAATTATCTGGGTATATCTCACTTAATTACTTCACATTGTAGTGGACTCTGAGATTGCTGCATCTTGGTCCCACCTATTCTCTGCCTGTGGCCTATTAGTCTTCTGTGGCTGCAATATTTTGGTCTAATTTTGATTGTTGGGTTTAGTTTTTGGGTGTGTCGCTGGCCTGTGATAAGCAGGAGGTCAGACTAGATGATCTGCTACTCTGTTCTGGCCTTAAGCTCTATGACTTTGATCTGCCTACAGGCTGTATCATTCACTTCTCTGCCTCTTTGCAGGGGACTGAAATCAATTTCCTTTGAAGGTGCCAGTCAATAATACCCTCATGTAACACCTCAAAATTAAATTCAGCTGCATGAATAAAATACTTATTGGCAGTTTACAGAAAACAAAAAAGAGACAGTATGTACAGTATACTGGACCCCTGGAAACGAGATATAGAACATCCCTTCAAGTGGGCCCAGACAATTTGTCGGTATTACCTGACACACTACATGAAAGAAAAACCTTAGTACTCCCAAACCTTTGTCCGTCTTTTCCTTTCAGAGCATTAAGCACAACACTTATCCAGTAAGAATACACTATTAGCTTAAAGACTAGTTCATGTAGCCTTTTACAAGACAGTATCATAATTACAATAGGAAGGTATCATTAGCATTCCATCAAAATACATATTAGGTTTAGTTTAAGCCAGCGTTTCTTAGCCTGGGGTCCATGGTCATCAATTCAACTCCTGCTGATCAATTCAACTCCTACCACTCCCTCCCAGTGCCTCCTGCACACCGGGGAACAGCACTGGGAGGGAAGGGGAGAAGGGGGAGGGGCAGAAAGAGGCAGGGAAGAGATGGGGCAGGGGTGGGGCCTGGGGATCCGTGGCAAAATTTTAAATCAAAATGGGGGTCCTTGGGTTCCTAAAGTTTGAGAACTGCTGGTTTAAGCTATGTTTCTTTTGAAGACAGTTCAACGCAGAAAGGTTATATTTTCCTCCTTTCCTAGTATTGTTTTAGAATTAACATATGCCACAGTGCACCTGGACAAACAACTTTCTGGCATCCAGTTCGCTTCATTTGGTTCTCTAAAGATTCTAGGGAACATCTTTCATAGAACTTTAATTAACATGCTAATGAACAGGTCACCATTTCAGTTCCATTGGACAATGATAACCCCTGAATGAATGCATTAAACTAGGAAACATACAATTCTTAGAGTCAAATACATATTTCATCAGGCAGTTAAAGTTGAACAGGTTTGTAAGGTATACAAGCTCTGCTGGTGGAGTCTATAAACTTTCATGAAACCCCAAATGTGACTGTAATCCGCATGAGCAAAGGCAAACAAAAATATATAAGCACTCTTTGAAATAAACTATGCCAGAAGACTGGTGAGTAGCAAACGTTGTACCTAGAAGGTTGATCCTGGGAATTACAGTGCAGTAAGTCCCTCTTACTGAAGATCCATTGAAATGATAATTAAAAATAGGATTATAAAACACCTAAACACAGTATGATACAAAAAAGCCAGAATACTTTTCATACAAATAAGTGACAATGAGAGAGCATCTGTCCTCTGCTGGAGGCCCTGTGTGCTGCTCCAGCAGCTTATAGGAGATACAAAAGCCCTGCAAAAAGAAAAGGAGTACTTGTGGCACCTTAGAGACTAACCAATTTATTTGAGCATGAGCTTTCGTGAGCTACAGCTCATTTCATTGAGCTGTAGCTCACGAAAGCTCATGCTCAAATAAATTGGTTAGTCTCTAAGGTGCCACAAGTACTCCTTTTCTTTTTGCGAATACAGACTAACACGGCTGTTCCTCTGAAACCTGTCAAAAGCCCTGCAGACAGCCAAGGGAGAATTTCCCCTGTGTAGGCCAACACAGCTCTAACTGCCATCCTTGGACACTACATTCACACATACACACAGAATTATTATAAGGGGGAAATTAAAGTTTATGGCCCTGAAAGAAGATATGTTTTGAAGGAGGAGAGTAGAGGAATGGCAGATCAGAGGTATGCAAAAGGCAGCTAATATTTACAAACCTGACACTTTATCATTGACTAAAAAAAGAAACGTTTCAAAAAGTAGTATAATTTACTTGCCATTACAGCAAGTTTTATTGGCAATTTGGAAGAATGTGGCCATAATCTCATCATCATAATTGGTAAAAAGTTACTCACATTCTCCCTACACCTTCATACATGCGTGTCTCATCCACCAGAGTCATAATCTCCGTATCAGTGAGGTGTGCATGCTTTTTCGTCCTGTTTAGTTGCTCAATTTGTATATCTGCCAGCTTCACCTTTTGCTGTGTGTCGATAACCTTGGCCTGCAGTTCAGTAAAAGCCTAATGAAAAAAGCAGGCAAGTTACAATTATGGAAATTTTGGCCTTGAACATCATAACTTTTGCACAGGTAATTGAAGTTTTACTGGTCCAGGAGTAATAAGTAGCGCTTGTGGACATGGTCCAGCTGTTTTCATTTTGGACTCAGAAAACTCAGCAACAGCTAACTCGCGTGCAAGGGTTTAAAAGTGAACTGCCTCTTTCAGCTATAATGACACCAGGGATTCCAAACACAGACAAGCTTCTGGGGACAGACTGTCAGATCAAGGATCTGCCCTCCTGTGATCCTTGATCTTAAAAAATACATATTTTTAAGGTGTCTAGCAAGACTTATCCCTAGTGATTTGCCTCCCTTCTGGGGCACTGGACTGCTCCTCTTCACTGTGGATGCCTGGCCTGACTCACTTCTATCTGCTCTCCAAGCCTTCCCCTGCCACCTCCCAGCGCCCACTCCCTTCCCTAACAGCTCTAGTTCCCTCCAGGTCAGGGCTAGGGAAGCTCGCCCTGCCCTGCCCTGCCCAGCAGCAATGGGAGGGGATCAGCCCTGTGGCCAGACAGAGGGCGAGCTTTGCAGGGAGCTAGGTCGAGTGTCTGTCTGGAGCCTGTGGGGGAGTCTCTCAGGTGCCCACGCTCCCACAGCTCCCCGGGCTCTCCCCGGCGCAGCAAGTCCCAGGCGGCGGGGCCTGGCTCCTGCCAACCCTGGGACACCCGGCAGGGCCCTGCTGCGGCCGTCTCTCCTGCAGCCACCCAGGCTATAGGGAAGGAGGCTCCGCTCACCGCCCCCCGCAGGCAGCGCTAGAAACCGGGCCCGGCCGGTACCTTCTTCAGCTCCAGGTCCACGGGCGCCGCCATCTTGCCAGCCCCTGCGCGTGCGCATTCACGGCAGGGGGACCCATTCCAGTGCGCGTGCGCAGTGAGAGGTGCGCCTCTGCGCCCCCCATCACACACTGGACAGCGACCCACGGGGATTCCAAGACAGTCCTGGAGGGTTACCGGCAAGCCCACGTCCCTGTTGGGCTACTGACAACCAGAATTGCAGTACAGCAGGGATACCACCCAGATCCACCACCTGCTGCCATCTGAGCTAAAGGAGAATCACCCGTAGCTCTCTGCAGTATGGGGTCTCTGACACACAGTCGAGCAGTTCTTCTAACTCTACCCCTTAGAAAGTGGTGCCCATATATGCTAGCCAGGCCATTGCAGAATTGTATTTGTGATAGACCCAAGCTTTGCTCACTGAGATGAATGGCTGAAATTGCAGATTACAAACCGTGCAAACTATCAATAGACCAAATAAAACATAAAGGATATCTCATCACACAATGTGAGTGGTCATGTGTCCTGTAGTTGTAGGTCAACCAATCAGGGACCAGAAACAATATCATGTGACTGTATGCATTGTTATTAATAAGCATTATTACACTACAGGTATGTTTGGCATTTCACCAGCTAATACAAAGATAAAGCCCTTGCCCAAGGAGTTTGGCGTACAAGGGATTATTCCTGTGAAAGTCAACAGGAGTGTTGCCACTGACGTCAGGGGGTAGGATCTGGCTTAAATAAACTGGAAAACTTCACAGGAATGACAAGAGGAGTGAAACAAAGAGAAGCCACTATTGAGAGAGTCTTATTGACAAGGAATTCAGATCAGTTCACTCGTGACTGTTGTGTGTTAATTCTCATTGGAGGTTATGATGCAGTTTTATTTGCCCATAATCTGAGCCACAAGTGAGGGAGCATACAGAACTAGAGCATACATAGTGATCAGTTGCAATCTGAGCAGTAGGATTTCATTTGAATGGTTTGTGATACTACTTCTCAGTAGTTACTTAATGTTGGTGCAGTGCTTTAAACATGGAAAGCGGTGCTTCTCAATCTTTCCAGACTACTGTACCCCTTTCAGGAGTCTGATTTGTCTTGCATACACCCAAGTTTCCCCTCACTGAAAAACTACTTGCTTATAAAATCAGACATAAAAATACAAAAGTGTCACAGCACACTGTTACTGAAAAATAGCTTACTTTCTCATTTTACCATACAATTATAAAATAATCAATTGGAATATAAATATTGTACTTACATTTCACTGTATATACAGCAGTATAAACAAGTTGTATGAAATTTTAGTTTGTACTGACTTTGTAGTGCTTTTTATGTAGCCTGTTGTAAAACTAGGCAGACATGTAGATGAGCTGATGTACCCCTTGGAAGACCTCTGGTTATCCCCAAGGGTACACATACCCCTGGTTGAGAACCACTGATGTAAAGCATCACGGGGCTAATCTTGAGATGTTCCAAAATCCTGTGACTTCCATTTATTTTAACGGAAGCATTGGCCAATGCCTGATCCATCTAGGTTCTTATACCCCAAGCAAGAGAAGATATAAACCACCCATAATGCACTTGATAATTTGTGCAATACTACACCACCCGGAGAAATTTATTCCTGACCAGGCAGTGATTAGCTTACATCCTGAAACATGAGGATTGACAGCTCCTCTAATTTACTGTAATTGCAAACGTTATTCATAGAAATGGCTGTTCTTTTTACAAAGTGTCTCCCAGCCTTTTTGAAAACTTACCTAACTACATGCATCAGTTTAATGGGCCATCGTATTAAAGTGTATTTGCCTTTACCCATTTAAAATTTCACTGAAAGGATCTCTGCCTCGCTGTTGCAGGCAGCAAGCAACTTTCTTAATTTAAAGAAATAGGGAGGTCTTAATCTAGTTCCCTGTGGACAGGTGTCCACATCACAGAAACCACTGCTATGGTAGGGACAAATTGCCATTCCTATTGGTAGACTCAGCTGAGAGCCAAGAACTGAAAAAGTCACAGGGATACTACTTAAAGGAGGCCTTCCAGGTCAGGGTCAAGGCTCTTGGCATGACAGGGCTGGAGTGTTTGCCCTCTGCTGCCCACACTATTCAGGTCCTGTGCAGGGTTCTCAGCCCAGCACCTTTCACCAGCAGTATAGCTGCATACAAGTGGGATTTTAAAAAACTGAAAAGCCTCCCAAAGAAGTACAACCTCAGAACTAGTCACTGAACACTCCCCGCCTTCTATCAATGAATTACAGAATTGCTCATTGCTGGGCCAAAGCACATCTTGTCCAGCAGGGCTACTGCAATGTGTGTGGTGATTACTGGGAAACAGTGGAATACTTTTTTATAAGAGTTGCTCCCTGCCTTCTCAGGGGGGTTGACATACTGAGCTGAAGAGTCAAACGTGGGAATCATGTGGCCATGTGGAGTGACAGAGCTCTGAAGCGGACTATTGATCAATCAGTTTGAATTCCTTGAAGGTGGTGTGCAATGCAAAGAGCCCTGCAAAATAGCTCCCCTGTGCTGAGGACCAGAGCTGCTTTGTTTGAAAGTTGTTAGCAACAAAATTCCTTTTTGATAATGGTGACCAGGTGAGGCCACCTCTAGAAAAATATTTAGAGCCAGGAAGGGAGTTATTAGTGACAAACCCCGATGAGGCTGTTCCTAGCCAGAATGCTGGCACTGGATTTGCTTCGCTTTTTAAGTAAACCACCCTTTCACATGCCTTAGGGGGAGCATTTGCTATTGATTCAGATGATCTAAAGCTGTGTAACAGACACGGCGCAGTATGACATGTGAATGTGAGCTGTTTGTCTCATTACTCACCAGGGAGAGTGAGGGCAACCAGCCAGTCCCAGAGAGAAGATCCCTATGGCCAGAAGAATATGTGCAACTAAGGCAACAGGTCAAAAAGTAATAACTGTAGCTAAAAACAGAGGCAGACTGATGATGATTATTAATACCTTGCAGTTATACAGGGCCTCTCATCCAGACAGATACTGAAGTGCTTTACAAATGACCCCTGCTGGTGGCTGGCTGAAGCCCTGAAGCATGAGCTTTTAGGAACATAAGACATACATCAGAAGTGAGCCCCAGGGCTTCTGAGCCCTGCCCCCCACCATCACAAGTAACCCCATCATACAATCACTCTCAGAAATGTATCCAGCTCTCTCTTGGATATGAATATAGTCCAGCCATGTTAAAACATACATAAAGAAGAATACCACATCCTATAACCCCAATAGATACGGTGGCCTACAACATGGTTATGATATTTTCTTTCTGTCCACACGGTAAAGGATAAATCATAATAAGGTTGGGCCATTAGCATGTTATAATAGCCTGGTTTATACCTGGTTATTTTTGCTGTGTAGACATGGCCTAATGTATGAATTCCATAGATCTTCTGTCCACACTACAGTTTGGATGGGAATCTATCACCCTTTCACTACTGTCAGTGCAGCTCCACTAGTGATAGCAATGACAAGAGCCCTAGTGTGGACATGGTGCAGGTGCTTTTACCACTGTATCAGCTACACTTGCTCAGAGCTAAATGCCAGCAGCTAGTCTCCACCAGCTCTCCCACCATTGCTATAGCACCAATACAGACCCCCAGTGCTGGCAACAGAGGGAGATTTTTGAAAACAGCTCAAGATAGACGCAGCTTTTATTTTCCAGAAGACCTTTTAAACATCAAATACCTACACACCAGTAGATGCCAAGAAGGTACTGAGCTGGTGAAATAGACAACAGGGGAAGGATTTAATACCATGGGCCAAAGAGGATGATGGTTACAGAGGTAGTAGGAAGGAAGTGGCACATGGAGCACCTCAGGAATTGGTGTACCTGGTCCTGTTTATCCAGATGATGAATGATCTGGAGAGAGACGCAGGTAACACAAGTGGGGAGATGAGCAAATGTGAAAGAAGCTCTGAGGAGGCCTGGAAAAGGTGAGAGAATGACATGCATCATCATGTATCAAACACTGTAAGCAAGTACGTGCATTCCCTGTAAACTGCAGTGATCTCTAAGCTGTCCATCCGCAACTGTCAAACCCACCTATAACCTCCCCAATAACTGCTCCAACTTTCCTAGGTGCCTATCCCTGTTTCTCTATTCCCCATCAGCATTAGCTGCCTGTCCCTCTGCTACACTGCACAGATCCTGTTGTCTCCAGCACACAGTGCTTCCTGAGGAGGAAAGGAAAACTTGAGCTGAATAGCAGGAAAAAAATTCTTGGCAGCAAATTCGATAACATTGTAGCATAGTCTCCCAAGAGAAGCAATAGAAACCCCATTGCTTGAGTCATGAGCAATTTATAACTGGACTGGACAAAAGACTGAAGAATGCACAGTGGGGAACAATTCTGCACTAACCCCAAGGCGTGGAAAAGGTGACTTGTCGGTCTTTTTCCATCTCTTATGGCTATGATCTGTGAAAAGCTCTGTGTGGCAAAGATGACTGAGGAGAGCACCAGCACCCTAGCTGGCTGGCAGACTAAAGCCCTACAGCTGGCACACAATGGGCTGCCCAACAATAGAAATGCCAGTCATAGGTTAGAGCTTTGAAGTCCTTTTCCAGATGAGATGACTGGTGAAGGTTTACTTCTCTCATAGGGTCAGTTCCTGGTCCCACTCTTGAAAACAAAGGGTAGAACTCCGATTGACTTCAATGAGAGCAGGATTTAGCCCTTAATGCTAATGACCATCCACTCTATGCCCTGGTCTACACTAGGACTTTAGGTCGAATTTAGCAGCGTTAAATCGATGTAAACCTGCACTCGTCCACACAATGAAGCCCTTTATTTCGACTTAAAGGGCTCTTAAAATCGATTTCCTTACTCCACCCCTGACAAGTGGATTAGCGCTTAAATCGACGTTGCCGGCTCGAATTTGGGGTACTGTGGTGGACACAATTCGATGGTATTGGCCTCCGGGAGCTATCCCAGAGTGCTCCATTATGACCGCTCTGGACAGCACTCTCAACTCAGATGCACTGGCCAGGTAGACAGGAAAAGAACCGCGAACTTTTGAATCTCATTTCCTGTTTGGCCAGTGTGGAAAGCTGCAGGTGATCATGCAGAGCTCATCAGCAGAGGTGACCATGATGGAGTCCCAGAATCGCAAAAGAGCTCCAGCATGGACGAACGGGAGGTACGGGATCTGATCGCTGTTTGGGGAGAGGAATCCGTGCTATCAGAACTCCGTTCCAGTTTTCGAAATGCCAAAACCTTTGTCAAAATCTCCCAGGGCATGAAGGACAGAGGCCATAACAGGGACCCGAAGCAGTGCCGCGTGAAACTGAAGGAGCTGAGGCAAGCCTACCAGAAAACCAGAGAGGCGAACAGCCGCTCTGGGTCAGAGCCCCAAACATGCCGCTTCTATGATGAGCTGCATGCCATTTTAGGGGGTTCAGCCACCACTACCCCAGCCGTGTTATTTGACTCCTTCAATGGAGATGGAGGCAACACGGAAGCAGGTTTTGGGGACGAAGAAGATGATGATGAGGAGGAGGTTGTAGATAGCTCACAGCAAGCAAGCAGAGAAACCGGTTTTCCCGACAGCCAGGAACTGTTTCTCACTCTGGACCTGGAGCCAGTACCCCCTGAACCCACCCAAGGCTGCTTCCTGGACCCGGCAGGTGGAGAAGGGACCTCTGGTGAGTGTACCTTTTAAAATACTATACATGGTTTAAAAGCAAGCATGTGAAAGGATTACTTTGCCCTGGCATTCGCGGCTCTCCTGGATGTACTCCCAAAGCCTTTGCAAAAGGTTTCTGGGGAGGGCAGCCTTATTGCGTCCTTCATGGTAGGACACTTTACCACTCCAGGCCAGTAACACGTACTCGGGAATCATTGTAGAACAAAGCATTGCAGTGTATGTTTGCTGGCATTCAAACAACATCCGTTCTTTATCTCTCTGTGTTATCCTCAGGAGAGTGAGATATAATTCATGGTCACCTGGTTGAAATAGAGTGCTTTTCTTCAGGGGACACTCAGAGGAGCCCATTCCTGCTGGGCTGTTTGCCTGTGGCTAAACAGAAATGTTCCCCGCTGTTAGCCACAGGGAGGGGGGAAGGTTGAGGGGGTAGTCACGTGGTGGGAGGAGGCAAAATGCGACCTTGTAACGAAAGCACATGTGCTATGTATGTAATGTTAACAGCAAGGTTTACCCTGAAAGAGTGTAGCCACTGTTTTATAAAATGTGTCTTTTTAAATACCGCTGTCCCTTTTTTTTTCTCCACCAGCTGCATGTGTTTCAATGATCACAGGATCTTCTCCTTCCCAGAGGCTAGTGAAGCTTAGAAAGAAAAAAAAAAACGCACTCGCGATGAAATGTTCTCCGAGCTCATGCTGTCCTCCCACACTGACAGAGCACAGACGAATGCGTGGAGGCAAATAATGTCAGAGTGCAGGAAAGCACAAAATGACCGGGAGGAGAGGTGGCGGGCTGAAGAGAGTAAGTGGCGGGCTGAAGACAGGGCTGAAGCTCAAATGTGGCGGCAGCGTGATGAGAGGAGGCAGGATTCAATGCTGAGGCTGCTGCAGGACCAAACCAGTATGCTCCAGTGTATGGTTGAGCTGCAGCAAAGGCAGCTGGAGCACAGACTGCCACTGCAGCCCCTCTGTAACCAACCGCCCTCCTCCCCAAGTTCCATAGCCTCCACACCCAGACGCCCAAGAACGCGGTGGGGGGGCCTCCAGCCAACCAGCCACTCCACCACAGAGGATTGCCCAAAAAAAAGAAGGCTGTCATTCAATAAATTTTAAAGTTGTAAACTTTTAAAGTGCTGTGCTTAAAGTGCTGTGTGGCATTTTCCTTCCCTCCTCCACCACCCCTCCTGGGCTACCTTGGTAGTCATCCCCCTATTTGTGTGATGAATGAATAAAGAATGCATGAATGTGAAGCAACAATGACTTTATTGCCTCTGCAAGCGGTGATTGAAGGGAGGAGGGGCGGGTGGTTAGCTTACAGGGAAGTAGAGTGAACCAAGGGGCGGGGGGTTTCATCAAGGAGAAACAAACAGAACTTTCACACCGTAGCCTGGCCAGTCATGAAACTGGTTTTCAAAGCTTCTCTGATGCGTACCGCGCCCTCCTGTGCTCTTCTAACCGCCCTGGTGTCTGGCTGCGCGTAACCAGCAGCCAGGCGATTTGCCTCAATCTCCCACCCCGCCATAAACGTCTCCCCCTTACTCTCACAGATATTGTGGAGCACACAGCAAGCAGTAATAACAATGGGAATATTGGTTTCGCTGAGGTCTAAGCGAGTCAGTAAACTGCGCCAGCGCGCCTTTAAACATCCAAATGCACATTCTACCACCATTCTGCACTTGCTCAGCCTGTAGTTGAACAGCTCCTGACTACTGTCCAGGCTGCCTGTGTACGGCTTCATGAGCCATGGCATTAAGGGGTAGGCTGGGTCCCCAAGGATACATATAGGCATTTCAACATCCCCAACAGTTATTTTCTGGTCTGGGAATAAAGTCCCTTCCTGCAGCTTTTGAAACAGACCAGAGTTCCTGAAGATGCGAGCATCATGCACCTTTCCCGGCCATCCCACGCTGATGTTGGTGAAACGTCCCTTGTGATCCACCAGAGCTTGCAGCACTATCGAAAAGTACCCCTTGCGGTTTATGTACTCGGCGGCTTGGTGCTCCGGTGCCAAGATAGGGATATGGGTTCCGTCTATAGCCCCACCACAGTTAGGGAATCCCATTGCAGCAAAGCCATCCACTATGACCTGCACATTTCCCAGGGTCACTACCCTTGATATCAGCAGATCTTTGATTGCGTGGGCTACTTGCATCACAGCAGCCCCCACAGTAGATTTGCCCACTCCAAATTGATTCCCAACTGACCCGTAGCTGTCTGGCGTTGCAAGCTTCCACAGGGCTATCGCCACTCACTTCTCAACTGTGAGGGCTGCTCTCATCTTGGTATTCATGCACCTCAGGGCAGGGGAAAGCAAGTCACAAAGTTCCATGAAAGTGCCCTTACGCATGCGAAAGTTTCGCAGCCACTGGGAATTGTCCCAGACCTGCAACACTATGCGGTCCCACCAGTCTGTGCTTGTTTCCCGAGCCCAGAATCGGCGTTCCACAGCATGAACCTGCCCCATTAGCACCATGATGCATGCATTGGCAGGGCCCATGCTTTCAGAGAAATCTGTGTCCATGTCCTGATCACTCACGTGACCGCGCTGACGTCGCCTTCTCGCCCGGTATCGCTTTGCCAGGTTCTGGTGCTGCATATACTGCTGGATAATGCGTGTGATGTTTAATGTGCTCCTAATTGCCAAAGTGAGCTGAGCGGTCTCCATGCTTGCCTTGGTATGGCGTCCGCACAGAAAAAAGGCGCGGAACGATTGTCTGCCGTTGCTCTGACGGAGGGAGGGGCGACTGACGACACGGCTTACAGGGTTGGCTTCAGGCAGCTAAAATCAACAAAGGGATGTCTTTACATATAGGAGTATTTCAGGCAGGACTTTACGGAGGATTCCAATAAGAAATGGTGCACCTAAGTTATCGTTCTTATTGGAACAAGGAGGTTAGCCTGGCCTCTGATTGATACATGGCTAGATTTACCTCGCTGCACCTTCTCTGTGAGTGACTGCAGTGTGACCTAGAGGAATGAGTCCCCTAGACAGGGGAGGAGGCAAATGAGTACAAAACAAATCTGGTCTATTTCTTGTTTTGACCCACTCCATCTATCTTTTACATCTTTGGCTGGCAGCAGACGGTGCAGAAGGACTGCATGCCATCCACATCTCATGGCTGCTCGGCAGAAGATGGTACAGTACGACTGCTAGCCATCCTCATCTCTTGCCTGCCTGGCAGAAGATGGTACAATACGACTGCTAGCAGTCCGTATCGCCTGCCCGCTCACCATAAGACGGTTCAATAGGACTGACTGCAGGACTAAAGAGAATGACCTGGTCCAGTCACTCCAAATTTAGTCCCTGCGCCCATGTCTGCCCAGGCGCTCCCAGCCGACGTGGCCAGGAGCACCTCGGACATGATGAGGACGGCTACCAGTCGTACTGTACCGTCTGCTGCCACAAGGCAAGGGGTTGCTGCTACTGTGTAGCAATGCCGTACCGCGTCTGCCAGCACCCAGGAGACATAGGGTGACGGTTACCTGAGCGGGCTCCATGCTTGCCGTGGTATGGCGTCTGCACAGGTAACTCAGGAAAAAAGGCGCGAAACGATTGTCTGCCCTTGCTTTCACAGAGGGAGGGAGGGAACGGGGGCCTGACGATATGTACCCAGAACCACCCGCGACAATGTTTTAGCCCCATCAGGCATTGGGATCTCAACCCAGAATTCCAATGGGCAGCGGAGACTGCGGGAACTGTGGGATAGCTACCCACAGTGCAACGCTCCGGAAGTCGACTCTAGCCTCGGTACTGTGGAAGCGCTCCGCCGAGTTAATGCACTTAATGCACTTAGAGCATTTTCTGTGGGGACACACACACTCGAATATATAAAACCGATTTCTAAAAAACCGACTTCTATAAATTCGACCTTATTCCATAGTGTAGACATACCCTATGTGTGACAGCAATTAGAAGGCAAACAGAACATGGGAATGTATCAATAGGAGGAACCAAGTCTCACTCCCACCAGCTGTCCCCTTCTACCTTAGAATTGCTCTAGGCTTGGTTTCTAGGAGGCTAATGAGCTTCAGCTGCTAATTAACCCTTGGTTCCCCAGCCTGGGACCCTGTTGCTTTCTATTCCCACTACACGCCACACTGTCTAGACCTCTGTGGTGTGATAGACTCTACTACAGAGCAATTCATAGCTCTCAGAGCTATTATTTCAGGCTGTCAGCAGACTCAGGCAAACATCTCTGTATCAGTTACACTGTGTTCACAATTTGAAGGTTTTGTTTGCCACTAAAAGGGCTAGGGCAGTGGTTCTCAAACTGGGGGTCAGGCTGGCTTAGACTTGCTGGGGCCTGAGCCACAGTGCCCAGGGCCAAAGCCAAAGCCAAAGCCTGAGGGCTTCAGCCCTGGGTGGCAAGGCTCAGGATGCAGGCCCCCTGCCTGGGGCAGAAGTCCTTGAGCTTCAGCTTTGGCCCCCTGTCTGGAGTGGTGGGGCTCCGGCTTTGGCTCCCCCACCTGGAGCAGTGGGGCTCGGGCAGGCTCAGACTTCAGTCCCCCCTCTGCGGATCGTGAAATAATTTTTGTTGTCAGAAGAGGGGCATGTTGCAAAGAAGTTTGAGAACACCTGGGCTAGGGACTTAATTTTTTACCAATGAAGGCTGAGATTCTGGAGCATAAGATAGCAGACACCAAAACCATACAACCGCTCCATCAGACTGGTTCAGCCTCTGATATCTGTAAGAGAACCTTCTGTTACTGCCATTAGAGCCCATTCCATACGTTCATTACCCTCTGCTACATACATAAACATCTCCTGGCCCCCCCTTAGTGCCCCATGCCCACCACTCTCTTGTGTTAGGTTTGTTGCTCTTTGGTTTCCAAATTTTTTCCCCAACCAAATGCCTTTGTAGTATCTACCTGCTCTCTGCCCCTCTGACTTTTATACCCCTCAGCCATGTCTGATTGGAATCACCTCTTTTCTAATGAGCATAACTTTAGTTTTCTGAACACCTCCTATAGAACTAGCCCCAAAACCCTGTATCATCCTGGTTCTCCATTTCTGTACCTCTCCTGGATCTCCCACACCTTTTCTCCCTGTGGTAGGCCAAATTGCCCTCCACTGCCAACACCCATTAAAGACCCCCACATCCGTGAATACTGCACGTGTTTAAAGGCAGGTCTGCCTCCTGTTAACGAGGTAAACATTTTGGAACCCTCTCCAGACCGTCTCCTGGTCATTCCTGGACATTCCTGGTCATTCCTCTGCACCATGGCTTTGCATTGCCGTGGCACATTAATGCTGTATTCTGCAGCCAGCTGGCAGTTCTACTGTAGCTTGAGAAATATTCTTAAACAAGTTTCAGAGTAACAGCCGTGTTAGTCTGTATTCGCAAAAAGAAAAGGAGTACTTGTGGCACCTTAGAGACTAACCAATTTATTTGAGCATAAGCTTTCGTGAGCTACAGCATCCAATGAAGTGAGCTGTAGCTCACGAAAGCTTATGCTCAAATAAATTGGTTAGTCTCTAAGGTGCCACAAGTACTCCTTTTCTTTATTCTTAAACAAGGGGTTGTGTGAATGGATTTCTGTGGAACAGCTTTGATTGTTATTCATTGGACTATTAAATCAAAACCCTTGCAGGAGTTTTCCCCCCACTCATAGCAGGCTGCAAGATCCCATACCAACTGCCCCAAAACCAGGTGGCCTTAGGGGAGAATGTCAGCTGTATGTGCCATACAGAGAAAGAGGACAGCACTGGAGAGGCGTGGGCCTGGGTTCTAGTCCCCTTCCTTGGGGCTACTACTGCCTTTTGGCTTTTAGGAGGGAGGTGAAGGAACACATAGGAGGAAGGGACAGAGCATTCAAGGAGAGACCAGAAAGAGGGAAGGGAGCAGGGGCCTGAAGACAGCTCTTTTTACAGTCAACTTCGAGGCTGATCATGCCTCACCTAGAAGGGCTGATGTGACCCCGCAGTCTGAGGGGTCTGGCCTTGTCGGGTTGGTGAGGAATAGAGCTAATGGAAAATTTTCCAAGATAATGCTGATTTGATTAATTCTAAACATTTGCAGGAATGTATCAATTTTGTTGACATTTTCAATGGGAAAGTATCAAAATGCTTCATTTAAAAAGTATATTAATTATAATTATATTAATTATAATTAATTATATTATATTATATTATATTATCAAAATGAAATATGTCCGAATATTTTGTTTTGCAAATAATCCCGAGATTTTGACTTTTTGTCCTGATTTGGGACAAAAACAAATTTTGAA